CGGGGGGGGGTGGTATGCGCGTGGACATGCGATGTGTGCGTGTGGGGGGGGTGCATGCGCGTGTGTGTGCATGTAGGTGAGTGTGCGTGCGTATTGCGGTGCCTGTACATACCGTGCACACGTCATGTGTGCATATGGAGGTGCATGTGTGGCCGTGGATGCATGTGTGCACACTGTGCGTGTGGGGGGGCATGTGTGTGCATGTACGTGCTATGCACATGCGTACATGTGTGTGGGGGGTATGTGTGTGTGTGTACATACTATGCACACGTGTGCATATGTGGGTATGTATGCATCGGTGCATGCTATGTCTACATGTGTGCATATGCATGTGCATGTGTGGGTATGTATGTTTGTGTGCATGTGTGTGTGGGGGTATGTATGTTTGTGCACACACTGCACATGCGTGTGCATAGGTATGTGCATGTGTGGGGATGTATTCATCTGTACATACAATGTATACATGTGTGCATATGCAGATATGTATGTTTGTACACATTGCACACACGTGTGCATATGTATGTGCATGTGTGGGGATGTGAGTGCTTGTACATACTATGCATGCGTGTGCCTATGTATGTGTGTGGGGGCATGTATACGTGTGAATATACTTTGCACAGGTGTGTGCATATGGGTCTGTGTGTGGGTATGTATGTGCGTGTACACAGGATATGCACGTGTATATATGAATGCGCACATGTCTATTTATGCACAGGGTGTGCATTTGTATGCACGCATGTGTGTCTACACTGCATGTGCCAAGCCCCGCCCCAGAGCAGGCCGGTCTCCCCTGTGACAGCCTGGCTGCCATCTCCTGGGCTCCAGCCTTGAGGCCCAGTCCCAGAACCAGGCCCGCTCCCTGGGCTGTGACCCCCCCAGGGACCAGAGCAGGGAAGGGGAACCCAAGGGGGACCAGAGCCAGGCCTGGGCCTGGGCTCGCAGCCTTCCCGAGAGCTGGGACACCCTTCACACGCTTCTGCAAGAGGCAGCATGGTGCACCCGGGTCCCACACAGAGGGTTAAGCAGTGGAAAGAGGAAGTGTCAGTCTGGCAGGGAGAACTGCCGGCTTGGCAGTGCCCTTCCTGGGCCAGAGAGAGCAGGAGGGGGAGCTGGGCTAACAGCAGAGAGAACAAAGTGTGTGTATTGCCCAAAAGCCCTTGGCCTGAAGGGATGGACTGCCAGAGGCCAGGAGGTACTTTACAGCCCTCGCCTCCAAAGTAGAGTGCTCTCATTTGCAGATTGCCAATACACAGGCTTTGTTCTCTCTCTCTCCAGCTCAGGCTTCAATCCCCTTCTCCCTCTGAACCCGTTATCTGGGAGGTGCCACCCTGTCCTGCCCTGCCCCGCTGCAGCCCTGGGCCTCAGACCTGCTCTGGCATCTCCCAGCCTCTAGTGCAGCCTGGCTCCAGCCCCACTTCCAGGCTGTTGAACCCCAGCTTTTTTGGGGGGGAAGAAATGGAAACTTTTCCTCTAAAACGAACCAACTCAGCTCCACAAAAGCCAGCGGGCCCTTTTCACCCACCTCTGCCTCGGAGACGCCACCAGCCGTGGGAGACAACATCTCAGCAGTGCTGCTTGTGGCTTTCTCTGCGTCGGGGTCCTTCGACCCCTGAGCCCCCTTGAACCTTAACCCTAACCGTCTCTGCATCAGTGTCCTTGAACCCCTGAAACCCATTGAACCCTAACTCTTCATCTGCATCAGGGTCCATGAACCCCTGAGCCCCCTTAAACCCTAACCCTTTCTGTGCATCAGTGTCCTTAAACCCCTGAGCCCCATTCAACCCTAACCCTTTCCTGAACAGGGGTCTTTAAAACGCTGAACCCCATTGAACCCTAACTCTTTCCTGCATTGGGGTCCTTGAACCCCTGCACCCTCTTAAACCCTAAAACTTTCTGTGCATCAAAGTCCTTGAACCCCACTGAACCCTAACCCTTTCCTGCATAGGGGTCTTCAAACCCCTGAACCCCATTGAACCCTAACCCTAACCCTTTCCTGTATAGGGGTCTTTAAACCCCTGAACCCCATTGAACCCTAACCTTTGGGGTCCTTGAACCCCTGAACCCCCTTAAACCTTAACCCTTTCTGTGCATCAGTGTCCTTGAACCCCACTGACCCCTAACCCTTTCCTGCATAGGGGTCTTCAAACCCCTGAACCCCATTGAATCCTAACCCTAATCCTTTCCTGCATTGGGGTCCTTGAACCCCTGAACCCCCTTAAACCTTAACCCTTTCTGTGCATCAGTGTCCTTGAACCCCACTGACCCCTAACCCTTTCCTGCATAGGGGTCTTCAAACCCCTGAACCCCATTGAACCCGAACCCTAACCCTTTCCTGCATTGGGGTCCTTGAACCCCTGAACCCTCAAACCCCTGAAACCTTTCTGTGCATCAGTGTCCTTGACCCCTAACCCTTTCCTGCATAGGGGTCTTCAAACCCCTGAACCCCATTGAACCCGAACCCTAACCCTTTCCTGCATTGGGGTCCTTGAACCCCTGAACCCCCTTAAACCTTAACCCTTTCTGCGCATCAGTGTCCTGGACCCCCTGCGCCCCATTGAACCCTAACCCTTTCCCGCACCGGGGTCCTGGGACCCCTGGGTGAACCCCATCTCTCGGGCCCGGCGGGGCTTGCCGGGTCACTGCAGCCCGCGGGCCCCGCGGCGGCGGCGGCGTTGACTCTGGAGCCGAACGACGGCGGCGCGGGGCTGCCCGGGGGGC